AAGATTGGTGACAGTAATGGTGTTCCTGTTAAAATAGCTTATAATATTTTGAACTTGGTCCTTTTCTCGTATTTAACAAAGTAGGCGAGATACATGTTGAAACAAAAATGATTTTATAAGTTAAGCTATAATTAAACTCATAAAGCTTGTGTGCTTTACTTTGAAATGTAGCTTGTACCTTAAAGACCAAGCTAAGACCTGTTGTGTCTGGTTTAATTGTAATTATAACATGGGATTTAAAAGCACCACACTTACTGCATTTAATTTTCCCACTCCTTCAAAGCAAATTATGGCTTTATTATGTTTAAAATATTTGGTATTTTAAAAGTGGTAGTTTAAAGAATGTGATCATAGCATTTTTAAGTTGCTTCATGAAGACAAATCAGATATACAAGGTACTCAAATTCTTTGTAGTACTCTGATGATGAATATTTTGTATTTTATATTCTAACATCTCATTTTCATTTTTATTTCGGAAAATTATTACTGAAATAATATATTGAATATCCAATGACTTTTCTACAATAATTACTGATAAAAGATTCTTTATCAATGTATAACAGCATCAAAAATATTTACATTTTGTTGTCTCAACTGGAACATAAATAATATAAGTAGATTAAAGCACCTATAGGTTAAGGAAGTCAGATTTCACAGATCTTTTGTATGAAATGTGAAAATCAAAGAGGGAACACAAGAAAAGTACTGACAGGAGTCATAATGCATGAATGGAAAACATTGTAAGATTTGTGTGTGTCATTAAAAATGCCTTGAAGATCTCATAATCCGACTGACTCTACACTTTTGATTTAAAGCTGTATAACCTGTTTTGTTCCTTTTTCAAATGATGCTACTTAGGCTACAAAGTGAGTATTGTTTTTTCTGTGACGCCTTCATAAGAGGAAGTTAGTTCTGTGTTCGCTATTGTAGTTCCTACTGATGAAGTATGATTTGGGCCATGACAGTTTAACCCTGCTGGTTCTTAACAAGTTTAACACCCCCATGTTACCTCTAATACATGTCATTTCCTTTCCACATCTTGCAAGCAGGAAGAAATTGACTTCAGGCACTGAATTTTATTTATAGAAATGTAATTGTAATTTCTTATTGCATTTGCTCTTCTAGCCTTTACTGCTAAACTTTTTCTTTCTTATTTCAGAAGCAGAAGTGTCAGAACATTCAACAGGTATAACCCATCTTCCTCCTGAGGTAATGCTGTCAATTTTCAGTTATCTTAATCCTCAAGAATTGTGTCGTTGCAGTCAAGTAAGCACTAAATGGTCTCAGCTGACAAAAACTGGATCTCTTTGGAAACATCTTTACCCTGTTCATTGGGCCAGAGGTAGGTAAATGAGACTTTTAGTTTGTTTTAACAATATTTGCATCTATTTTTCTAGATGAATACTCATAGACATTAATAAGCAAAGCCAGGGAGGGGGATCTCTGAGAGGTTGACCAAAAAGTAGATTTTATAGTTAGCTGATGTGCTCTTGGTTGACATGTTTGAAAAGCTAACAATGCTGAAGCATTCATCAGTAAATTATGTGGTGTCTGACATTTCTTTTAAAATAATTAGGAAAAAATAGTCTGGGGAAGAAATGCAAAAAGATAGGCAAAATGTTGATTATTGAGGATAGGTGATGGGTACATGGGGATTCATTAAGCTAGCTCTTCCTACCCTTGACTATGGAATTTTCCCTAATTATAAATTAAAAATGAAATTAATAGGTTTTCAGAACAGCTTTACATAATTAGATTATAGGAGTATTTTAAAAACACAATAAATTTTGTAAAATTTAAATATGAGATACCATTATGGCTTGGTTTTGGTGGTGGCTCAAAATAACTGTGAATCTATCTTTAACATCTTTTTTTGTGATTGGTAATGCCTCATTCTCTAAATAATAATTTCATATTAATTAATTACATTGTGGTACATTACTTTCACATGTGAACAGTTAAAATTTTCTTTTCATAAACGTGTAATGCAGTTATGGGGTACATGCAACTAATCTGGCATATATTTTCTGTCACTGAATTAAAACAATTTCTTCTAGGTGAGTATTAGCCTTAAAATTCACATTAATTTTTTTTTGTAGATTTCTGTTTGTGGCTTTATATCTGATTTAAATTATGAATCTGATTTAAAAGCAGTTTTATTTGTCACAATAATATATAGCACTTTTAAGATAAGCTATTAGATATTTAATGTTATTTTGAGTGAAGCTATTTGTAGTACTAGGTAAACTTACATGATCTAAATGATTAGAATTGTTATTTTTATGTGGAATAATTCTTTCTATTAATTTTAAGATAATGAAATACTGAGTGAAAAGTGAAATAAGGCGAACATGGGTGTATCAACTACTTTTTTGTCCAGCTATTTTTAAGAATTAGTTGTGAATACATAATTAGATACGATTTGATATGAATGTCAAATGTGATAATGCTGTGCTAACTTCCGTGAAGTCACTCAAATCTTAAATATGCTTTTTTCTGTTTTTAATATGTTTAAACAAAAATTCCAATAAAAATGGTTATTTATTTTTTATTGTATTTGTTTTGAGTGGTTCTCAATCAGAATTAATTCTTACTCCCCTCCAGGGGACATTTGAAATGTCTGGAGACATTTATATTTGTCCATATTTGGGTATTATACTGGTATCTAGTGGGTAGAGGCCAAGGTTGATACTAAGCACCCTACAATCCATAGGACAGTCCCCCACAACAAATAATTGCCTGGCACGAAATGTCAATAGTGTCAAGGTTGAGAAATTCTAGTTTAGATGTAATGTTAAGAGTTCAATAAATTAATTCTACATTATCTCTCACTTTGCTATCATGTAAGTTAGTTGTAACACATTCTCCTCAAACTATGAATTTATGGTTTAGCTTTACCTTTATCTTTACCTTTGACTTCTGTTCCCACCTATTTCTGAACTGCTGACTGATTCACTACAGAGTAGAAGGTTCTGCCTCCTTTTGTTTATTAGCTATCATAATGGGGCTGTTGCAGCAGCTAGTATGAAGCCACAGTAGGGGAAAATGTTATGTTGTTTTCAATGATTTCTAAAATTGTATGCAAGATTATTGATAATTACTTTTCTTATAGATGTGATTATAACAATTAAGCTTATTACTGTAAAAGACAATTGAAAAACTTCTTGTATAGAGAGTAGCTACAAAGCAGGTACATAGCAGACTATGTAAATTTTTGTAGTTATTCTATTTCTATAGTTTGAGAAAGTTTTTACTTTGAGAAAATATGAACTATTGGTTAATTAATTATTATTGTTAATTGAACCCACATAGTCATAGTTCTTTTCAGTATGTCTGAAATTGAATCCAATACTTACTTAGTTTTATTTTTTTTAACCATCATTAAATATTTCTAAAAATACCTGGCCCATTGCCCAGGGCTCAAGTATTTTCTGTGTGTAGAGAGTTTTTATTGTAAATAGGTTAGTTTTATAATGACAGGCAGTCTAATTTTATTTTGTTTTTATTTGTTTATTCATTGAGTAGGTGACTGGTACAGTGGTCCTGCAACTGAACTTGATACTGAACCTGATGAGGAATGGGTGAAAAATAGGAAAGATGAAAGTCGTGCTTTTCATGAATGGGATGAAGATGCTGACATAGATGAATCTGGTAAGCATGTTTAGAATTAAAATTATGATGTGTTGTTTTAATAATTGCTGTTATATTAAGTACTTCTAATCATTAGGTGTTAAGATTTATGTGTTTTTGTGTTTTCTAAAGAAGCTGGTATTTCTAAGCCTTACTACTTAAAATTTGAAGGAATAATAAGAAAATTTAAAATTTTGAGATTTTAAAAAATGTATATAGGGTTGTTTCCCGTTTGTTTTTATATTAAAATAAAAAATTAGAAAATGATGTCTTTTTCCTTATGGAAATAATGTACATTCATTATAGTACTTTATAGTTTACAATATGTGTTTTAGGGCCATTTTAAATGATCAGTTGAGCAGCATTTATTGATTGGGTCATCTGTGGCCCAGAGGAAGGAGGATGAAGCTGTCGAGGCTACTTACTGGATTTGTAAACATTCATAACACTTGCCTCATAAGGTTGTTGTAGAATGAAGTAATATACATATATATACATATATATATATATATGCAGAGTTTTTGTAAATGGTAAGGAATTATAAAAACTAGTGTAGCTATTCATTGAGCATTGAGAGTTCAGGGTGAATAAGACTTTATTCCTACCCTTAAATAACTCACAAATGGGGGCAAATTTAGAATATGTAATTTTTAAGGTACATAATGAAAAGTGCTATATAATAGAGGTGCAGAGAGATGCTTTTTGGGAGTATGAAGAGGAAGACAAATTCTGTCTTCGATACTATTCTAGATGATAATTACTAAAAGATGATGAAATAGTAAAAAATTAACAAACGAGGTATTTTTCTACTTGGTGAAACTGAAACTATAGGAAATTTTATTTATAAAACTGCCCACTTAAGAAAGCTAATCTGGTCTGGTGAAAGAACTAAACATATGAAAAGTAAGAACTGTAAGTATAAAGATTATTATTTCAGCAGGAAAAGTAGTTCATTTTTATGAAATGAAGATGCTACATTTTGGTATAAATAAAAGTTTGGGAGGTACTATATAAGGAAGAGTTCTATTCCAATTAGATTTGATGATGTGCTTACCTATGGCAGGCATTGTTTTAGGTATGAAAGTTATAAAGATAAAATGGAAAAAAAATAACCCTGGCCTTGTTCAGCTTAAAATTTGAAGTGGGGAGGCAGATAATAAACACAGGTAAAATATATGCTATGTTAGATGATGATAAGTGGTGTGGAGAAAAATAAAGAAGGGAAAGCATGCCAGGAAGTGGGGAAAGAAGTTACAGTTTTAAATAGAGTGGTTAGTTAAGGTCCCCTGAAAAAATTTGAACAAAGACCTGAAGAAGATGAGGTCTTTGCTCAGATGTCAACTTAAGACTCTGTTTATTCTAGAAAATTCATAATACCCATGATAAGAATTTTGAAGTCTATACCAAACTCAGTGTATATGTCTCAAAAATTAAAGATAGCCAAGGTGAAAACTGTTGTTTTCCTTCAATATTGAAAAGGAAAGGTTTATACTATAAAAATTGAGCCTTTTTTTTTTTTTTTTTTTTTTGAGACAGAGTCTCACTGTGTTGCCTGGGCTAGAGTGCCGTGGCGTCACCCTAGCTCACAGCAACCTCAAACTCCTGGGCTCAAGCGATCCTCCTGCCTCAGCCTCCCGGGTAGCTGGGACTACAGACATGCACCACCATGCCCGGCTAATTTTTTCTATATATTTTTAGTTGTCCAGTTAATTTCTTTCTATTTTTAGTAGAGACGGGGTCTCACTCTTGCTCAGGCTGGTTTCGAACTCCTGAGCTCAAACAATCCTCCCGCCTCGGCCTCCCAGAGAGCTAGGATTACAGGCGTGAGCCACTGTGCCCGGCCAAAATTGAGCCTTTTAAAGATAATAAATCTGTTCTGTTGATTAGTGGATTTAAGACTAAACTTTGGATCTGCCATCTACTTCAGTGCTTTTCCAGTTTAGCTGTCTTTACTAGTCTTGCAGAGAAGTTATTTTTCATAGAATGTGTAATTTTTTTTTTAAAGATTTCACAGTCCCAATTACCCTGATTTGATCATTACACATTATATACAGGCATCAAAATAGCACATGTACCCCCAAAATATGTACAACTATTATATACTGAAAAAAATGAAAGATTTCACAGTAAGTAGTACACATTTAGATACTAAAAGCCATTGAAACAAAAGAATGGCTTGGTAATAAAATAGAATAAATAGAGTTCATTAAAGTAATTTTTAATCTCTTTATATTTTACATATATATCTGGGTAAAGGAGGAATTTAGGATAATATCTATAAACAAAGAACCATTAGTAGCAAATTCATTTTTTTTAATTTCATGATATTATGGGGGTAGCAAATTTAGTAATTATTCTTTCTACTTACATTCCTTTTGTCAGCTGTACTCAGTTTTGTTTTAAATGAGACTTCCTTAACTTTGTTAAACTCCTTTATGTTTAGAGACGTTTCATGTTAGGTCTTTAGGTAAGCATAATATTATTAGGATCCTGAGAAAGGCAATAAAATTATTAGTTCATTCTTTTTAGTGTAGTGTGTTTTTGCTGTATCAAATTGGAGTTTGTAGTTTTTTCATTGCGGTTGTTGTTACAGTAGCGCATCCTATTATAAACATCCAAGCTTTACAGAAGCTAAGTAAGATGCAAACTTATTTTCAACGTCTTAAAAATTCTAAAGTACCTTTCTTTGCTTGATTCGTTATCATCAGGCTAATTTGGTTGAGTTGCAAATCTCTTCTAGCTCCATGTCCTTTTTATTTAGGTAGAATAACTGATGGTGCTTTCACTATGGATCATTTTTGTTTTGATATATCATATATTCTGATCTCTTGGAGAACTTTTACTATTCTTTCAGTATTCACAGTTTTTTCCAAAACTTTTCATTACCTAAAAATGAAATTACTTACATAAGGGAGTGTAAGGATAGCAAAGTATTTCATATTTAATGATTTGGTATGTCCTTGAGTAGCCTAATTATAATTAGTGTACCAAGTTCTTAGACTTTTAAATTTGTTTTTACAGAAGAGTCTGCAGAGGAATCTATTGCTATCAGCATTGCACAAATGGAAAAACGTTTACTCCATGGCTTAATTCATAATATTCTACCATATGTTGGTACTTCTGTAAAAACTTTAGTGTTAGCATACAGCTCTGCAGTTTCCAGCAAAATGGTATGTATAAATTAGCACTAGTTGGGATATTAAGAAAAATTGCAATATATAACTTTGATTTGCTTATTCCTGAGTTTAATTAAGGAAAAAAACCAATTATCGAGTGCCTTCCCATGAGTAGGCATACTCTGTTAGCTTTCATGTTATTTCATTTCAGTTCTCACAATCTTTGTAGCATAGATACTGCCTACATGTTATAGATGAGGAAACTGAGACTATAAGAGGCTAAACATTTTATTTAGTTTCAAGTGATGAAACCCAGTTTTATGTGATTGTTTATAATATGTAAGGCATGTAATATGGGCAAGTGAGAGGAAATCACTGTTTTATAAAAGTGTATCTTGTGACTTCCTACATCAGAATCTCCTTGGGTATTCCTTAAAAATGTAAATTTCTTGAGTTTATTCTCATAACTACTAAAAAAGATTCTCAAGGATTTGAGCCTAGAATATTTTTAGTGCACTGTTAAAGTGATTTTTTTTTTTTTGACACAGACTTTTGAGAATCATTGGATTGTATATACTAATAGTTATTTGTTATCTAATTAAAAGTCTACAGATCTTGATAATGACAATTTCCGCCCCCCGCCTCTCATAGGTTAGGCAGATTTTAGAGCTTTGTCCTAACCTGGAGCATCTGGATCTTACCCAAACTGACATTTCAGATTCTGCATTTGACAGGTTAGTTGTGTTTAAATATTTAAATATAAGAAAAAATTGTTCTATAATTTCTCATTTATATAATTGCAGTTTAATCATACTATTATTTTTTACTACCAAATCTCAGTCATGTATGGCTGTAACTGGATAGCACCTTCCAATTCTTTTCCTCTTGTTCACAAGTCCCGGCTGATCCAAAACTCCTATTAGTATCATCTTAAATTCTCTATAGTCCTATATTGTGTACTAGGCCTTTGAGCCTTGCTGTGCAACCATGTAGGTTGGTATTATGTTTTTAAGAAATTTTAGTTTTAGTTGGGCTCTAAGGGCCACTTGGCAAAGCTCTCTCTTACATTCTTCACAGTTATTCTGAAATAGTGTCACTTTGTTAAAGCTACACTCTTCAAAGAGTGTATTTTCTTTGATACCACCAATTTCTCCTGTATTCTAGCTCACTTCCTCTTTCCCACCCTAGCATTTATATCAGCATCTTTTTTCCTCTTTCAGTGGGAGAGGTATCCTCTACTCTGCCTAAGGCTAATGCTCTACCAATTCCTAGAGCTTGTTACTTCTGGATTTTCCTCTGTTAATCATTAGTTATTCTCTTTCTTTCATGTGTAGGCAACCTCTCCTCTACTGGTTACTTATAGAATGATAAACTTAAGTCTCTAGCATCTTTATCCCTCTCCCATCCTGTCCTGTTAGGTTAGTAATAAATACTCTTAGTTACTAATTACTCTCATTATATTTTTGTGTTCCTGGCATCAAAAATAGCACCTGACAATAGATATTCAGTAAATGTTTAAGTGATTATATTAGATATAAAATCTTTCTTCTAGTTTTCATCTACATACGTATAGTCAAATGTTTTTGAAGAATTTAACAATATCCATTAATATTCTTTTTACCTCTAAATTATAGTTGGTCTTGGCTTGGTTGCTGCCAGAGACTTCGGCATCTGGATCTGTCTGGTTGTGAGAAAATCACCGATACGGCCCTAGAGAAGATTTCCAGAGCTCTTGGAACTCTGACATCTCATCAGAGTGGCTTTTTGAAAACTTCTACAAGCAAAATTACTTCAACTATGTGGAAAAATAAAGACATTACCATGCAGTCCACCAAGCAGTATGCCTGTTTGCACGATTTAACTAACAAGGGCATTGGAGAAGAAATAGATAATGAACACCCCTGGACTAAGCCTGTTTCTGCTGAAAATTTCACTTCTCCTTATGTATGGATGTTAGATGCTGATGATTTGGCTGATATTGAAGATGCTGTAGAGTGGAGACATAGAAATGTCGAAAGTCTTTGTGTAATGGAAACAGCATCCAATTTTAGTTGTTCCACCTCTTGTTGTTACAGTAAGGATATTGTTGGACTAAGGACTAGTGTCTGTTGGCAGCAGCATTGTGCTTCTCCAGCCTTTGCATATTGTGGTCATTCATTTTGTTGTACAGGAACAGCTTTAAGAACTATGTCAGCACTCCCAGAGTCTTCCGCAATGTGCGGAAAAGCATCAAGGACTAGACTGCCTAGGGGAAAAGACTTAATTTACTTTGGGAGTGAAAAATCTGATCAAGAGACTGGACGTGTACTTCTGTTTCTCAGTCTGTCTGGATGTTACCAGATCACAGACCATGGTCTCAGGTGAGTAATTAGTTCCAGAGTATTAAGAAATGCACATGTTCTATTTTCAGATGGAATATAAACATTTTTAAGTCATTCGTTTTAGTTGATTTACTTAAGCAAAAGGGTTAACCAAAATCTGCCCTAATTCAGTGTGTTGAAACAGTATAACTTCTGATACCAACATGAAGTTTCATTTCAGTAAGTTCAAATCCGTTGAGATATAGGGAAGAACATAAATTTAAAGGTTTAATAAATACTTAGTAAATGGCTGCATCACATTTTTAAGGTACTTTAGTGGATGAATAAGATATAATTTTTACCCTCAAGGACATGTAACAGAAGAAAATATGTGTACCATATTCTGTTGCTATTATTTTACATTGAGGATTTTGGGAAACATTAGAATGTGCATAGAGGTAATTTAGTGCAGTTATACAGCCATTAAGTGGTTACAAAAACCAAAGCACAGCAGAGCTAGAGTTTAGATTGTGTAGCTGGAGTTTAGAATTTTTGGTCCTTGATCATAATCTACTTACTTTCTATTGCTTTCTTAAGTCATAAAGAAACGTAGAAGTTATACATTTTATTTTCTCTTTTTTTGTAAGCACAATATTTAGTAGATTAAACTAAACTCCTTTTTTCCCTAGAGGAAAGGACAGGTGGAGATGAAACATTCATCAGCCTAGAGAGGTAGCTATTCTTTTTTTTTTTTTTTTTTTTTGAGACAGGGTCTC